CTTCCTCTTTTTCTTCCTCTCAGATCACTTCTTGCCAGAACAGATTTTCTGTATTAGTGAAGGTATAAAAGTTACATGTCTTTAGTGGAGTTAGTTTTGTATTTTGAACTTAGTATGTTTTTAATGGATTGGTACATCCATAGTTGTTGTGCGTGAACTTTATTCGCATATGGTCTGCCTTCTTTCATTCCTTATTCCCTTTGCCTCAAATGGCAGCTGTGCCAGTGAAAATACTCACTTGAAGGGTAGTGGTAATAGCAGTCCTATGGGGGTTACAGATTCATTCACTGTGGCACTTGCCAAGGAAAACAGATTTTAAGCTCTAGAGTCCTGCCTGTGGGAGGTTGCTGCAGAAATTGCACTGATTTAGTGCATCTCTTGGGTATTCTGGCCTTGGCCTCATCTTACTGATTCCCCTCTTTTCAGGAGAGGACCAGCTGGTCCACTCCAAGTCGTCTCACAACACTGGACTTGAGGGGGGCCTGTACTGCTGTTACACGGTTGGGGATAGTCTTTCTTTCGCCTTGCATGACCTATCTGTGTTGTTCTGGCAAAAATTAGAGGTAGCTGAGGAGATACAGGAAGAATTATTTGTTTTGTATGAATTAGTATATTACTAAGGAGAAAAGTTCTTCACTGAGCCACTGATTCTAAGTTTGGATATTGTAAATAAGTAGAATAATAAAATGAGACTTTTGGATTTTAATGTATGAAAATGAGATGGTATTATATGAATGAATTAAAAGAGAAAGAGCATGTAGTCTGTGTCTTAATGAGAAAAAGTGCTCTGCAGAGCTGCACTCTTGTCCAGGAGTCCCACTTCTTTGCTGCATCCTAGTTTTCAGATGCCATTGATTGATTACCGACTAAACAGCTTCTAAGTTAACAAAATGTACTTGTTAAAAATCAAGGAAAAGGTTACAATTAGCTATTCTAAACCATTGCCACGGGGTTTAAAATTGCCTTTTCCTATCACCTTTCTTCCTGGAGCAATATGTTGTTTAGAAATCCTTGCTATTAACATATGAATCTAGTTAGTAATTCTAATTTGTATGTCTTCAAATGATTGGGGAAGTACAGAACTCTTGCTGTTTAGTTTTGATTGTCAGTCGTGTAACTTTGCAGATGTCGCTGTGCTATGAGACTGACCATGCTTGTTTAAAGTATTTTATTTTTTTTTACCCTAGTTTGTGGATATTTGTATTAGAGTTACCACAGTAGAAGAATCTTACGAAATTACTTCTGAAGTCAATGTTAAATTGCTGTTACTTTGGCAGGGTTGGGTCTTGCTAATGAAGCTTATCTAAATCCATTTGTCAGAAAGTAGAAAACATACAGATCAATTGTTCTTGGTTCATGAGATAATAATTGTAAAAAATCAGGTCAGTATACTAGTGGAAAAGATCACATAAAAGATGCAAGATGTTAACAACTTGCCCAGATCTTAACCTGTCATCTAATTTAATAAAATTTTTCCACTGCTCGTGTGTAACAGAATCATCATAAAAAAATCTTTCCTCTTTTTGTTTCAAAACAAATAGCAAGTTATTATTTGTTTCAGTTTCAGTCAGATATAGTTGCTCTTTGCATATGCCAAAGCAGTTAAATCCTAAGAAGCAAGGGAATCACTAAATTTCAGAAATGAACTTTTTCTATGCCATCGTGCATTTTCTCAAGCACGGAGATAGGTAGATGGCTCGAGATATTTTTGACTGAAATGTCATCTAAAATTTGCTGGGAGCTGTAATTGAGTGGAATTGAAGGTGATTTGGTTTCATTTTTTACTATTCTTGTTTGCTTATATGAGACATTGCAAGCAGTATTGAATGTCAACTTGTAGGTGGGAAAAAATTACTGAACAGTAGAAGAACCCGTCCTTCCAGGTTCAAGTGACCTACCAAACTACCCTGAATCCCAATGTCACTCTTGAAGGATAAAAGTTTAGATTACAGTAAGTCAGTGGGTGTTGCAATTCTTGATTTTTATTCCCCCCCCCCAAGTGTGATATTTCTTTTCTCCCTTATTTTTGAAAATAATATGATCTCTAGAAAGCAACATATCGAAGAAGTGGCATTTGGAAAGTACGGTGGGTTTTAGCAGTGCTATAGCCTTCCTACTGTGCATCGGTCCTTCTTGCTAGTTTCAACGACTCCATTAATGCTAATTTGTATTACATATATAATAAGTTAAGTGCATAAACCTATCATGCCACCTCTGGGTTCCTGTGGCATTATTTTGTCACTGAAGCTTTGGTGTTCATCAGCATTCCTTCTTAGAATTGCAGCATGCCTCATACATTGATTTCCCTATTTGAGCTATACTATTAAATGGTAAAATGTAAACTAACTTCTTGGTGGCTCTACGTAGCCTTCTAGGGAGTTGCACAGTGCTTAGTATTACTTATTGGGTTTTTTTTTTTCTAGTAGTGTCTATTAGTCAGCAGCACGCTTACTGTTGTGCTTTTTCTAACAATTTTAGCGTGTCAGAAAGAGTCCATTGTCTATGCTGAGAAGGAGGTAACATTCAAAGAAATGCTGTTACTAATATTAAATGACTGAGAGATGTTTTCTGTTGCCAGACTGACTGACAGATGAAAGGACCAATAACACTGAAATTTGAGGGGGGAGAAATGAGGTGTAAGCAGTGATTGATTAATAATTTTTTCTTTTATATTCTCCTCATCTTATACAAAACCATTATTTTAAAATTCAGGGAGGAGTGATAGCATGAAACAACTCTAACTAATAAACTTTTAGATTCTGCTTCATATGTTTACTTTTCATTAAATTTAGGGACAGTTGCAACTATGTTGTTGTGATTCAGTCAACATTTATTTCTATCTGGTTTTCATATACAAAGGCATCGGGATGCCAGAAAATAAACTGTTAACGGAGAATTAACTTCTTTGGCACGCTTTCATACTTATCTTCCAAATTAAAGAAAATGAAATGGGCAGAAGCAGAGTGTAGATTACCTCCTTTTTGTCAAAAATGGTGGGAATTTGAAAATTAATAATAAAAAAGGGAACAGATGCAGTAACATGCCAGAGGGAGATT